CCTCAGAATGGGACCTGAGTGGAGACAGGGTCTTTACAGAGGTAATCAAGTTGAAATGAGGTCAGGGGAGTGGGTCCTGATCGAACAGGACTGGTGTCCTTATACCAAGGGGAAATTTGGACATAGAGACACACATAGATGGGAGCTGGTGTAAAGACACAGGGAGAAGACGGCCACCTACAAGCTGAGAGGAGAAGCCAGACACAGATCGTTCCCCCCACGGCCCTCGGAGGGATCCAGGAGGACTTCTAGCCTCCCACAGCGCAACTATAAATTTTTGTAATAGTCCTAGCAAACAAATAATGAACTTAAGTGAGTGTTGATAGCTAGTAAACACTATCATAAATTTACAAGACTTGGGAATGACACGAAGCCTTGGCAAGCACACGGAACAAGTGGAACTTTCCCGCACTGCCGATGAGAGTGTGAATCGGTGCAACCACTTTGGAAAATGCCTGGCAGTACCTTCCGAAGCCAAGCACCCGCCTCCCTATGACCCAGCAGTTCCACCCGTGGGAATTTACCCAAGAAAAATGAATGTGTGTGTCCTCCAAGGACTTGCGCCAGAATGTTCACAGTAGAATATTCGTGACGGCGACACGCTGGGAGCAGCCGGCGCACAGAGGCGGGGAGGGTTCTGGTGTATACACGTAGGGGTGCGCTCAGGGGATGCAGCCAGGGGCCAGCACCCCGTGTTAATGCGGGCAAAGCGAGGCAGACGAGAACGCTGCTGTACACGCCGTTGGACTGTGATCGTATATCGACACCAGGCAAAACCAGTTCCCAGGGAGACCGTATGGCGCCTGGAGGCGCAGAGGGGAACTTTCCGGGGAGCTGGGCACTTTCCTGCCTTAGTCCGGGTGTGGTCACATGGAGGTGTAATGCATTTACAGACAATCGATGAGCTTCACACTTCGGACCTGTGTGCTGTATCTCAGTGAGGAAAGGTCAGACATGCCCTGCCCGGCTGGCTCCGTTGGTTGGACATCAACCCATCACCAAGGTCGCTGGCTCGATCCCCGGGGAGGGGTGCGCAGGAGGCAGCCGGTCCCTGTTTCTCTCTCTCACCCTCTCCCTTCCTCTCGCTAACATCAATAAAAACATACTTAATAAAAAGAAAAGATAAAATATAAAAAGACGAGGGGAAGCCTCAAGCTGTTTTTACTCAGTGAGGGCTGGGGTTGTGGCTGACATTTAGATGGGGGGGGAACAGTACAGGGATTCTCTGCTCTCTGAATTCAAGTACTGGAGAGATTTGGATTCTTTTTTTTTTAGATGAATGGGGCTGGTCTCCCTTGCTGGTCACACGGTCAACTGCTCTCCCAAACTCAGAAACCAAACAGATTTGAGATATGATGTCCTGTCCTATCCCCCCCCCCACACACCAATGTCTGAATTCTCATTCTCTGAAAGTAGGAGCAAACTGGACCCGGGAAGTGAGGGATGCCTGCGGAAGCAAAAGAGTAAGGCAGTCCCCCGTGCCTCCTGGGGAAGGGCACTGTGTGCCCATGAAGGGGGGGGCAGGGCCTGGGAGAACCACCCTGCTTTGCCTACGAGAGGGAGGCTCTGGAAATCCCAGGGGCCTTCCTGGAGGGAGGGGCTGAAGGAGACAAAATGGAAGAAGGGGGAGGGGAGACGTCGGCTGGATGGCTGGGGGGTCTGGGGGCGAGTCCGGAAGTGGGACAGTCCCAGGGGGTGGGGGTCATGGCCGGAGCTCTTGAATGTTTCATGTTCATTATGAAACCTTTGCATTTAGGTGGTGGGTACCCGGGCTGCCCCACAGTAGCTCTGTGCGGCCCGGGGTGACAACCAGTAGCCCGATGCCACCACTGAGCCCTTGAAATGCGGTGAGTCCGAATGAGATGTGCTCTGAGTGGAACATACACTCAAAGCACAAAAAAGAAGAAAGGGAAACATCGCCATTAATTTCTATACTATATATAGAAATGGTAACATATTGGAGCTATTAGGGTAGTAAAGTATATAATTAAAATTAATATTTTCTGTTTCTTTTCCTGCGGACCCTAGGAATTTTTCATTATCTGCAGTTCCCCATCTGATGGAGCCTCTGGGGCTGAGGGGTTGTTCCCGCCCCAAATCTGTACCTCCCTTGGAGATAATTCTCTGGGAAAATGTGATAGGCAGAATAATGACCCCCAAAGATCCCCACACCCTAATGCTTGGAACCTGTGCATGTTACTTTACATTTCAAAAGAGACTTCGCAGATGTGATTAAATTAAGGTCTTAGGATGTGGAGATGATCCTGGGTTATCCAGGTGGGCCCAATATAATCACACGGTTCTCAGGAGAGGGAGGGGAAGGTCAGTCAGAGAAGGGGACATGTGACAATGGCAGCAGCCTGAGTGATTCAGGTCCCTGAGCCAAGGGATGAATGCAGGGAGCCTTGAGAAGCTGGAAAAGGCAAGGAAACAGATTCAGGTAGGAAGGCAAGGAGTCCGGTTCTCTCATGGAACTCAGAACTCTAAACCTGAACTTGTTAACCTTTCTGTTTGTCCAGGTACATTCATCAAGGGCAGGAGGATCCAACAAGTTGAATGGTTTGTTAGCTTGATTTATAAAGTTCAAGCAGTTAGACTTACAGTATGGGAGCCTCCTCGTGTACTCTTGGGCCGGCCCTGCCAGTGTTAGCCGTGGGCCTGCCCAAAGTCTCGGTTAGAGAAGAAAAGTCTATTACCCAAACCGCCTCGTGTTAGTGGTGCTTGGGAGAGGGTCAAGGGGAAAGTGACAGCTCCCTGAAGGGGTTGAAGTTGGGCAGAGAGAACAGCAGTCACAGGAGATGAGAGAAAAAAAGAGGTGACTGATAAGAAAGTGCTGAAGTTCACAGCATCAGAAAGGAGAGGCTTGCAGGGGAAGCACGGAGAGGACACAGAAATGGGAGACAAGGGACCGCGTGACCCACAGAAACTGAGAGAGAGGAGACAGGGCTTTGGAGGAAAGGCGCAAGAGAAGCTGCTGGGTGGCAAAATACAAACTGCACAAGGGCATGCCCCCGGACGACGGCTTGGCTGCCAGAATCTTTGTTTACAATCTCTTCCTTTGCCATTTTCCACAACAGAGGCTGGAAGGCGAACATTTGCCAGCCTCCCTTGCAGCTAGGAGTGGCCATCTGATGCCCTCCGAAAAATAGCCAGAAGTCCCCGGGAAAAGCATACTTTTCCCAATAAAAAGGCAACATCTTGCCAGGAGAAAATCCTCTCCTCTTTTACGCTTCCTCCTTCTTGCCTGGAACCAAGATGGGTTTCAGAGGGGTACGTGACCATGAGGCAACCAAAATGAGCAGCAAGGTCTGTGCTTCAAGGTTGACGGAACAAATATATGGAGAGAGTTTGGATTGTGGATGTAATCTCTGAGCTATCACACCGCCCCTGGACTTCTTGTGAGCGAGGAAGAAACCTCTGCTTGTTTAAGCGCTCCTAACAGATCTGAGAAACTTACCTATTTTGTTGACTGCCATTAGCCAGTGCAGAACTGTACCGGGTACTCCTAAATTTTTTTTATATGAATGAATGACTTTCACATACATTCAAAGCCCAGCTTTACTTTCTGCAACTTGTTCTGAGAGACTCTGCTGTGTCCTTATGCAAACCAATCCATTTTACAGAAATCAAATTGACTGGGTTTCTTTTCTTGTGGCCCAACAATTCTAATCAAAACAGGGGTTAAGGGGGACTGGTTAGGAGTGGCTCCTTGAGGGGTGAGCAGAGGATGGCCTTGGGGAAAGGTGCTCTAAAAAATACGATAGCTGGACTCACTGATGCCCCCCATCCATTCTCCACATGGGGCATTTACAGACAGAAATCAAATCACACCCCTCCCCTACTCAAAGCCCCCCCTCTCCATGGCTTCTCACTGTCCTTTGAATAAAACCCAGCCATGATGTCAGAACTCAGGGGTCACACCCCACTACATCCTCTCATCTACCCTCTAACCTCAGCCTTCCACATTTCAGCCACCTTGGCCTTGTTACTGTTCCTCCAATAAGCCAAGACCACTCCTGGCCCAGGCCCTTTACACACCCTGTTCCCTCTGCCTGCAAGGCTCTGCATAAGTCCACCTGGCTGGCTCCCTCACTTCGTTCAGGGCTCTGCTCAAGTCACCTCCTCCGAGAGGCCCACCCTGAAAACCCTGGTGAATATATCTCAACTCAGTCATGCTCTAGCTCACCATGACTTTCTGAAATAAGCTTGGTGATTTTTCTGCTTGCATATTTATAGTTCACTTCTTACCCCTAGACCCTAAGCTCCCTGAGGGCAGGAATTGTGGTCTAATTGTCCACTGCCCTCTATAGAATAGGGGCTAAGAAAGTAAATGCATGCTGAATGACTAAATAAGGGAGGGACAGGGAGAGGGTTACTATGCTCAGCTTGGACTGTACTCTGGGGCCAGAACTTAACTTTATCCCTATTTGGGGGGAAAACTAATGTCAAAAAAATTTAAAAAGCATAATCCAAATATTCACTGCATTGAGTTCAACCCTAATAATGATGATGATGATGATGATGATGATGATACTAACAGCAATAATAATAATAATAATGATAATAATAATAATAATAGCAACAGCAAACACCTACAGTGTGCCAGGTACTGCTCTGAGTGTTTTGCATGCATTAACTAACAATACTAACAAAGTAATACATTATATTAACTAATAATAATAAATATAGTAGTCTTCATAACAACCTTATGAGGTGGGTCCTCCTGTTATCCCCATTTTACAGAGGAGGAAACTGAGGCTCAGCGAGGTTGAATGACTTGCCCAAGGTCACACAGCCAAGAAGAGACAAATCCAGAATTTGAACTACTAGATCCCTAAAACCATCACAAGAACCCTCAATGACCTCTGCCCTCCAAGCGGACCCACCCCAGGCTGACCTCTAAGGCAAATAAGTGACCCCTGATCCCTCGCCACCCGGGAGCGCCCTCAGGGCGCGCGGACCCGCCCCCACTGCCCTCCCTCCGCGGAGTCTGCGCTGACCCTGCCTTGAGATGAGTGAGCGCCTCCTCCACGCGCGGCTGGTTGTAGCGCACCATGTAGCTGTGCATGTCGGGGTAGTTGCTGCGGATGTTCTTCTCCGTGGACCCGTTGGGCACCGTCCCGAACTTCAGGGGCGGGTACTGCTCCTGGGGCCGCTGGAACTAGGGCAGAACGGAGAGTTACTAGGGCGCCCCCTTGGGGGCATCTGGGTGAGGCTGTCCTCCACCCAGATGTCCATTTGGGGGGATGCTGGCCAACTGGGGGACACCCCAGTGCAGAAGAAGTTCCTCAGACTTGCTCACAGTGGCCCACAGTAGGAAACACCACTCCTCACCTGGAGATAGCTATACATTCGCAGATATATAGGGCGTTCCAAAAAAATGTATGCACACACTTCGAATAATTATAAAGGCGGCGTTTACTAAAATACATTCCATTTTCAAAATTGAGTTATCAGCTGTTAAAGTATGTATACATTTTTTGGGACACCCTATATACATATACATATACATATACATATACATATACATATACATATACATATACATATACATATACATATACATATACATATACATATACATATACATATACATCATATACATATACATGCACATAATCAGTAATATTAAAATATTTAACACCCAGCATGGCCTGATCATGTAGTGCACCATGTAGTGCACCATGTAGCTGTGCATGTCAGGGTCCCGTCAAAAAAGACACTGGCTATAGAGCTTCAAGAAGGGTCCCAGAGGCCCCTGATATGCCAGGTATTAACCCTTAACTTGCTGGGTCATGGGAGGTCCCAGGGGCAGGGGTTGGCATGGGGAGGGGGGCTGGGGCAGTTGTTATTTACCAGTCTGTTCAGAAGTAGTTCACTATTTTAGCAACAGACATAGCCAGGCAGGTGTGTGCTGGTTCGATATCAAGCATGTATATGACTAAGACAAATGTTTCCTTATTTTTATTTTGTAAGATGCAGTCAAAAATATTTTCTATTCTATTCCATTCCATTACAAAAATTGCTTGTGGCCATCCATTGTCTTGATTTCTCAAGCTTCTAAGAGGTCCTGACACCCAGTGAACAGACTGTGCCCCTCCACCAGGCAAGCACAGAAATCGAGAGTCAGCGTTTAGAGCAATTTGACAGGATAATTTTATGTCTGTTGAACCTCATACGTTAAAATTTGGGTTTGAATTTCCCATGTCTTGGTTTTCAATTTTACTTTTCTAGTAATTCATTTCTATTGCATTTTACAAAAGCATTGGTCTCCACTGGATTAGAAAATTCAAATATTAGTTCTTTATCAGCTTGAGAGAAACAATGGTCTGAACTATCCCACTTGGCACTACTGCCCCTAGAACATTTGGGGACACTTCCCCTGGGAATATTTAAATAGTTCATTGTGAGCTCCAGAATTCTACCATTTGACAAGCTCTGTGACCTCCAACCCCAGTCAATTCCCCCTCCCCAAACACACACACCTTTCGGTCACTGAGCCCAGACACGGTGTCCACGTACTCCTCCTGGATCATGAAGGCGGCCAGGTTAGCTGTGTAGCTGGCGAGGAAGATGACAGCGAAGAAGGCCCACACCAGCACCATGATTTTGCTGGTGGTACCCCGGGGGTTCTCCACGGGCACCGAGTTATTGAACACCAGGGCCCAGAGCAGCCAGATGGACTTTCCAATGGTGAAGGTTGAGCCACCAGGGCCTGCAGGGGCCAAGGGGGTGAGGCATGGACCCCAAATCCTTCTGCTCAATGAGGGAGCAGAAAAACTACAGTCCCCAGTGGCCCCTGAGGCCTCTGCCACCTCAAGGGGCCAGAGTTCTACCCCAATGCCTGCTGGGAAAGGTAGTTCTATCTGTAGTCCCAGGCGCTCTGAGGGAGGGTGCTGGAGGGAGGGGACTCACGCTTGCCGGTGGCCAGGCTGCGGTTGTAACCCACAGGACTGAGGTACTCGAAGATGAAAACAGTGACGGCGACCACAGTGAGGCACATGACGAACATCATCACCCACACGGCGGGGCTGTAGGGCTCTGGGGGTAAGGGGGTGTATGGTCATGGCTCAGCCAAGCAAAAGACTGGGGGACCACAGACATTTGACCAAGCTGCAGCCCAGATCTGACCCTGTTGTGCTCTGTCCCCTTCCCAAGTTTCCCACCTTGGGAACCTCATCGTCTACCCAGGCCCCTGAGAGTTCAACCACCAAATAGAAACTGTCTCCTAAGTATGTTTCCTGAGGCCCGGACCTGAGTCTCCATCTCCCGATGGCCATCCCCCAGGCCATTCATGTCCCACACTGAGCCCAGCACCAACTCCCAGGTTCCCCATCCTGGGAGTCCCACCATCCATCCAGTCACAACCCAACCCCCATTTGCCATCCTCTGCCCCTCCCCTTCTCTCCTTCACCAGCCACAGCCTGTCAGTCCTCAGCCCCATTCTCCTGCCCCTGCCCCTGGATCAGGCCTTGTCCTCTCTCCTGGACCATCTTCCCATTTTCTCCTTTCAAGCCCGTCCCTCCTCTCCTTGGCCCTAGAAGCTCTTTCTACACCCAGAGATGACCTCACCTCTCCCCAGCTCACAGTCCTCGGTGGCTCCCCAGCACCCCAGGACAAAGTCCCCACCTTCAGCCTTGCTTCCACCCTCCTCTCCAGCCTGATCACTCTCTCGATAACCCATTGCTTTAACCACCCAGGACTCGGTTTCCTGAATGGGTCACACCCTCTCTGCCTCGGTCTCCAGCTCCCTTGCCAGAGGTGCCATCCTGACCTGTCCATCAGACAAACTTGAGTTCATGTGTCCCCTCCTCACACTGCCTCTGGGAGTTCACTGACAATAAGCCATCTCTTTGAGATTAGTACTGGCTGATTTGATCTCCCTGGGCCAAGTGCAAGTGACCAGGACTGCCCCTGTCACAGGAGAGTCACCACCCTGGACAGTTCCTGCAGCATCTGGGGACATGCCTGTTGTCTCCACTGGGCAGCATGGTGGGTCATGCATATGACCTTGTCACTCCCTGCTGAAAGCAGAGGCCCCACGTGGTGCATCTCAAGATGCCCTGCAGAGACCTTGGTGCAAAGAGGAAGCCACAAGAGACATTGTTGGGGAAAAATACCGAAAACAAAACACAAAGAAAGGCTGTCCCTCGTCCCAGCACCTCCCCCTCCCAGGAGCTCTGCTCAGACTTCAGACAGCAAGCGGGAAATGACAAGAGCGGTGGCTCTTGGCTGGGTGTTCACTTCTCCTGTCTTCCTCCACACTCAGAAAATGAGCTCTCTATCCTGTTCCAATTCGCCTCAAAGCCGCCAACCCACCCGGGTGCCAGCTTCCTAATCACATCTCAAGGCTGTCTCCTTGTCTCACCCTGCCATCTTTCTCCCACCACCTGTAGTTAAAACCCTTGCCATTTCAGTAAGAGAAAAACCCAATCTTCCTACCAAGGCCCAACTGCCACCCCTCTCACTCACTCCCCTCTCCAGCCACACAGGCCTCCCACTATTTCACAAATACTCCACCGCACATTCCCACCTTGGCGCCTTTGTCCTTGCTGTTCCCTCTGCCTACAGTGCTTTTCCAGACAGATCTACACAGGACTGACTCATCTCCTCAAAGGGGCCTGCCTGCCCAACCATGGCAGCACCAATACTATTCCTTTCCTTCTCTCCCTCCCCTTACTTTCTCATAGTATTGGTCACCATCTTAAGTGATTTTGTCCTTGTATCCCTTCAAGAGTTCAATTTTGTCTCCCCCAGGAGGCCAAGAGGCCTTAGAGGGCGGGGATTTGTGTGCAGCTCAGAGCCTGGCACACACTAGGTACTCAATAAGCTCTGTCTGATGGGTGAATTGTGCACTGACCCTGTGCCAGTGCCATGCTAATCTCTTCCTCATCTCATATGTATATACTGGGGAGACTTGGATTTTGTGGGACCTGAAGCTCATACAATTTGGTGGGTTCTCTTTAAGAAAAAATACAGCCCTAGCCTGTTTGGCTCAGTGGTTAGAGCGTTGGCCCGTGGACTGAAGGGCCCCAGGTTCGATTCTGGCCAAGGGCACGTACCTCGGTTTCAGGCTTGATCCCTGATTCCAGTCAGGTGTGTGTGGGAGGCAACCAATCAATGTGTCTCTCTCACATCAGACGCTCCCCTCTATCTCCATTCCACTCTCAAAAGCAATGAAAAAAATATATCCTTGGGTGAGGATTTAAAAAAAAGAATACAAAATCATGATTGCAAAACCAGGTACAGGGTCTTGAAGAGGCTGTGCAAGAGGAGGCTCCTGAAGCTCCTTCGCTTCCTGCTCAGAATGCTTCTGGTAGTAATTACTTCTCCCATGTGACAGATTGGGAAACTGAGGCTCAGAAGGGAGGCCACTTCACCGGAGTCACAGCGCAAGCACAGGCAATACCAGATGGGACTGGGGCACACAGCTGCTCACCGAGGAAGGCGGAGGGGGACACGGTGCCGTTGCTGCGTGCCACCATCACGCTGATGCCTGTCTCCACGAAGGGGACGGAGAAGTCCACGATCTCCGACCGCTCCTCGTTTATGGTGAGGGAGCCGATGGCCATGTCCGCGCGCTGGTAGAACACCTGTGGCGAGGGCGGGGAGGGGGTGAGGGCACCCGGCTGGCTCGGGCAGACAGAGGGGAGAGGCGGGCAATACCCGGCCCGGGAGGACACCAGCGAGTAAGAGAAAGGCTAGGAGGGTGCGTGAGTGGGTGAGGGGGCTGCAGGGGGGGCAAGAAAGGTGGAAGTGCGAGAGTCTGGGAACAGGAGTGGGGAGAGGTGGCCATGACCGCACCCTGCTCCGGCAGCACGGTTTTGGGCTCCCGCCTCCAAGCCCCGCCCCTCCTGAGTCCCATTCTCCAGGCCCCGCCTCCTCCGCCCAGAGGTCCCTCCTCCCGGCCCCGCCCCTCCACCCGGGCGGGTCCTTCTTGTGGCCCCGCCCCTTCGACCCTGGGCGGTCCCTCCGGTTGGCCACGCCCCCTGCCCCGAGTTCTCCTCGCGGGCCGGGGTTCCCTCGGCCGCCGCACCTCCCCGATCATGCCGTTCCAGACGCCGTCGATCTTTTTGCCGTGCTTGCCGTTGGTGACCAGGTAGAGGTCGTAGCTGAAGCCGATGGTCTGGGCCAGCCGCTTCAGGATGTCGATGCAGAAGCCCTTGCAGCAGCGCTTTTCGGGGCGGGGGGCGTCCGGCGGAGGGCTGCGGAGAAAGACCAGGCTTGGGGACCCCTCATCTTAATGGAGGGAGGGACAAGCAACAACTACAACTAAGGTTAGCGCTTTCTGGGTAAACTGAGGCTCAAAGGAGTTATGGGACTTGTCCAAGGTCACCAAGCTGGAGGGCAGTGTGGGTCCTCGGTCCCAGTTGTCACCTGTGGGTGCGGTTGAGCTGGCTCCGGCAGGGTACAGAGTCTCGGATGCAAGTGCCGCTGATGGGGTCAGCGGGCTCCACGATGACAAAGGGCCTCTCCTCCAGCGTGGCCACCGTGAGGTGCTGCGTGTCATCTACTGGCTGCAGGAAGCGACCATAGCGGGACCATAGCGGGTACTTGAGGCGGAGAGTCTGTTGCTCCCAGCTGCCCACCTTGGCCAAGAAAAGGGGGTTCAGGCTTCCTGGGGGGCCTTCCTAGAATGCCCTGGCCTTCACGGCCTGGCTCCAAGCTCCTCCCTCATATCCAGGAGACTGGGCCCCATCTCCCTCCTCCCCTAGGTCTGGGTTCCCAGTTCTTCCCATCAGGACCCAGAAGTCCGGGCTCCCTGCTCCTTCCTTCCTAAGAGGCCAGAGTCCAGGGCCTCAGCCCCCACCTCTGGCAGGGCCCCGGAGTCTGAGTCCTCACCCCCTCTTCCCCAGGACTCAGGAGTCCAGGCCTCTCCCATGCCTTTGGGCAGGGCTGGGACTCACCACCTCCCAAGTCCTGTCCCTGGTAAGGGAGATGACCACCAGGGAGGGGTTCACCAGGAAGCCATCCTCATTGAAGGAGTAATCCCGGTTGTCCCAGGTAATATTCATGAAGTACCTGCCCAGGAGAAAAGGAGGGGACAGGTGGGGACCTGGTCTGGAACTTGGTGGCTGAAAACAGAAAAAGTCCCCTTTCTACTGACTAGCTCCAGCCCCCAGATGGAATCTCTCCTCCAAGATCTTGAAAATTCTAGTAAGCCTCTTTTCTTCCAGGTACTCTCCCCTCGCTGCCCAGCGCCCCCCCCCCC